TTTGAGGTTGCTGTGAGCTAGGCTGACGCCACGGCACTCTAGCCTGGGCAAAAGAGTGAGACTTTGTCTCAAAAAAAAAAAAATAATCTGAACATATTGACACAAGCTCAGACTGAATCTCTTGTACTTCATCCATGAGGAAGAGCAATATACTTATAATCAATGATAAGAATTAGTCTGAAGAGGAATATCTTTAATAAAGAAATTTTATGGTCAAAATTTGACTACCAGAAATATTTTCATGAGTAGACTAATTTCTCATTTAATATGTCTAGATCCTGGTGCTTTTGATTGTTTTAAATGTCTCCATCCTGGGGAATTTGTTGTTTCCCTGAAGAGCTTATTGATATTTTCAAACTTAAATCCCTTCTTAAAAAATTCAATATGACAAGGCATTAATGGAATTAATACATAATGACAAGGCATTATGTAGCATGAAAAGATATTCATTTTTAGTTTATAAAGTTTTAGAACTTCATGAATTTCTGGTTCTAAATATGTAGGATTTTCTAAAATCAACACATTTCTATCCTTAGATGATTTTTTAAAAATGTAATAAGTAACATGGCTATGATAATTTCAATTTCAACTGTTTCATCCTACTGTGTATCTTAATTTTTTAGTTTGGTAAATCAACAATGAAGGAAAATAACTTAATTTTTTAAAAACAGGATTCCTATGATTAGTTTATTTAATGATTATATTAGAAGTATTTAAATCGGATAAGAATAGTATTAAAATCCCCATTTGACAAATATTTAGGGACATAACACTTTACATAGGATTTCTAATGTGTATTTGTAAAATATGGTATCAATAACAGCAAGAACATACATTTAAGAGGCAGCTAAGGAGTCTCTATCCCTTCATCAATGTCTACTTGCAGAGAAAACAGAAAAACAGCCAAGATGTTGTTATTTTTTTCTATATTACACAGATCGCAAACTGCAACCAAAATAAGATATAGACTATGTATATTTCATAAAGTAGCAGCTATAACTTTGTCCCTACATGCAAGAAGAGTTTCTATAAGGAATTTTGAACCTGCTGACAAAAAAGGGGAAGGGGATCATTTTATTAATATTATAAGTGAAATTCCTTCTAACAGTTTTGTCACTACCAACTAGGATACATCATCATGCTAAGGATCAATAAGATAACATATTAAAGGACAAGGCAGTCTTAATTTTTTTTTTGTTTTAATCACTTAACAATATGTCTTGTAAGTAATCTGTTGATTCTACCAGATTATCAAATTTTCTAAAAAAAAAGAAGAAGAAGAAGAAGAAGAAGAAGAAGAAGAAGAAAAGAAGAAAGAGGAAGAAGAAGAAAAGAAGAAGAAGAAGAAGAAGAAGAAGAAAGAAGAAAGAAGGAAGAAGGAAGAAGAAGAAGAAGAAGAAGAAGAAGAAGAAGAAGAAGAAGAAGAAGAAGAAAAGTATTTACAAATTTTCCAAAATAGAAAAAATGTGTTCATACATCTCTTTCAGGCTGGTTTAAATATGTCCCAAGTATTCTCACATTCT